TTATATTAAGTAATGGAAACTATTACAAAGTTCTTTCAAGTCTCATTCTGAAATCAGCAATTTTTTATGTGGCAAATCACTTCCGTAGATTTATCTTCAGTAAGATTTATTTCTCTTTATTGTAAACATCTTAAAAATTCACTTGCTATAGTTACAGAATCCCAGACAGGTTTGGGTTGGAAGGGACCTTAGAGACCATCTCGTTCCAACCCCCTGCCATGGGCAGGGACACCTTCCACTAGACCAGGTTGCTCCAAGCCCCTGTGTCCAACCTGGCCTTGAACACTGCCAGGGATGGGGCAGCCACAGCTTCTCTGGGCACCCTGTGCCAGGGCCTCACCTCCCTCACAGGGAAGAACATCTTGATAATACCTAATCTAAGTCTTCCCTCTTTCATCTTAAAGCCATACATGCCCTTGTCAAAAGTCCCTCTCCAGCATTCTTGTCAGCCCCTTTAGGTACTGAAAGCTGCTCTAAGGTCTCCCCTGAGTCTTCTCCAGGCTGAACAAGCCCAGCTCTCTCAGCCTCTCTTCAAGTTCCTTTCAAGTTTCGGGGGGTATGTGTGTTAGCATATCTATTTCCTAAAAATGTAGTAAAACAAATACACACACAACTGGGAGCATGACATGCTCAGACCAAGCTAAGTGGTGTGAGACTAGCAGGAAGAGTTTAGTGCTTGTTTGTATTCATAATAATAAGAAATTCATTGTTGTATGCAGTTCTGGTGGTGCTTTGCTCCACAGACTGTTTGGCAAAAGCTTTGTGATTAATCTCACTGTGTATGAACAGCGTTGTTGTTTATTTTAGGTCAGATTTAACTGTGCTGCTGCATTCCTATTAGGTCTCTCCGCTCTAGTAAGGCCCACTTTATTTTTCAGTGAATTCCTTCTCTTTACACAGCCAGGTGCCAGAGGTGCAAGAGAAGCTTCCTCACTTAGACACCAGCCAAGTCCGTTTCCTTGCATCCTGACAGTGTAACGTGAAGCTGGGTCCCACGTCTCGGTGATCACATACACCATGTGTGCTGCTTCACTCCTCCTGGGCGGTTCAGTTTTCATGGGATACTCTGCAGGAACAGTCATGGGGCACAGTGAGGAACAGTGTCAGCAGAGAATTCTAAATCCTAATGTATTTTTTGCAGGGCCTGGGCTTATATGCTGCTAGAGACATTGAAAAGCACACTATGGTCATTGAATATATCGGAACCATTATCCGGAATGAGGTAGCAAACAGGAAGGAGAAGCTTTATGAATCTCAGGTATGGCTGGTGCTTGGTTGCTGTTCCTTTCCCCTTTCAAACGTTTGTACAACGCAGCAAATGCTGTTCTGCTGTTTGATGAATTCAGGTCCTCTCATTTGTTTTCTGCTGTGCTGTAAACGCAATAGACTAGAAATATAACCAGTCTACGGTTCTATTTTTCTTACCAAAGGATCAGAGTATTTAAGTAAGTGTGTAATAGATCTCACAGTACCCTGGGCAGGTAGGCAATATACGTCCCCTGTCCTGGAGGACAGAGAGTGAGCTCTTGACAGATGTATCGGGACCTCCATTTTTAATGAGAACTTCTTTAAGTTTAAAGCAACTTCCTTTGTGTAACTCTGTGGTATTGTAACAGTTAGTACCTATTTGTGAAGCACTTCAAGATCCTTGTGAAAGGCAGTACAGAAGCTGGTAGGGAAATAGTAATTTACCAGAGATTTATGTGTATGCCCCATCCATTCCCTCACATCCACAGTGAGGTCAGGGCAGCGTGTGGCTCACCTTTCCCTCCTGAGTAAGCGGCAGAGTCTGATCCTGACCACAGGGGACATGGGAGCTGACCCTCGCTGCTGCTTTGGTTTAATCACTGGGAATTAAATAAAAACTTTGATTTTCAAATCAAAAGAGTGTTTTTCCCCATCCTGTCTTCCAGAACCGCGGCGTGTACATGTTCCGCATTGACAACGACCACGTCATCGACGCGACCCTGACGGGAGGTCCCGCCAGGTGGGTGGCTCTGGGGAGACCTCACCCTGCTTGGGGGGATCATCCGCATTCCCTGGCCTGGGGCTGGGTGCGAGGGACCCAAGCTCGTGGTTCTCTCAGTGGTTTTTATTCTCCGAGCTGGTACATTCAGTCTTTGAACTGTTCTACTGACATTTTGTCTTTTTCATTAGCTTTTTCACTGGACTGTGTTTCATGGCAGCGCTGAAGGAGGAACTGAGTTGGTTCTTTTTAATGCTTGACTTTCCTGACATTTTCTAGGTACAGAATCAAGTAGAGTAACAGAATTATATGTGGACAGTCAGTGCACCCTGAAGCTAAGGTCATCCTGAGGTTTGGTTTAGATTTGCCTCAAGAGATGCATTTCCTTAAAAGGTTTCTCTGCTTCCAACTGTTTCCATAGGTACATCAACCATTCGTGTGCACCAAACTGCGTGGCCGAGGTGGTGACTTTTGAGAGAGGGCACAAAATTATCATCAGCTCCAGCAGGAGAATCCAGAAGGGGGAGGAGGTAGGGCAGTCTTGTTTGGTTTTACTCACCTCTTGCTACTCACATTGCTCTCTAGATACTATGTGGTTTCTACAGCTGGAAACCCCACCTGTGTGTGCTGGGGTGGGAGAGTGGTGTTCCTCTCCTTGCCCTTTCCCCTATCCAGTCTTGCCTCAGCAGCATTTTGGTGTTCGTTTAACTTGGAGGTACCAGGAAAGCTGGGATAGATCCTGGGTGTTCCATAACCATTCTTTTCTCCATCTTCTTCCAGCTTTGCTATGACTACAAGTTTGATTTTGAAGATGACCAGCACAAGATTCCATGTCACTGTGGAGCTGTAAACTGCCGAAAGTGGATGAACTAGAATGCATTCCTTGCTGTCTTTGAGGGCTGCTTGTCCCTAGGAAGAAGTGATTCGCAGTTTGATTTTGTCGACAGAAAATTGTTGCCTTTTGGAAGGGGAAAAAGAAAATAGAAGAAGATCACTTCTGGAAGTACAGCTTTCTACGTGTGCGCTTAACAAGGAGAGGAGAAGAGAAGAGCCCGACCACCCAGCAAGCACCAGAAGCAGCCGGCAAAACGCGAAGCCAACTTTCCAGCCACGGGGAGGTGAGACTGAGTTAACAGAATGGTCCAGCACTTTTGTTTTTGAGCTCACTAAGGAGAAACTGTTGAACTTGGGCAAAGAACCGAGGGCTGACCTGCGGGACTGCAGGTGGGCATCTATGAATGTAAGACTGAAATCACCAGCGAAAGGGAGAAGTCCAAAGTGCTGGCCACAGCCTTATTTGATAAAGGGGCAGGCCCTCTGATTAAAGAAAAATTTTAAATAAAAGTAGACACCACTGAACAAGGAATGTACTGAAACGACTTCCTTAGGGATAGAGCTAAGGGAAAAAATAACTTGCACTAAAATACATTTAAATACTTGATTCCATGAGTCAGTTTATTGTAGTTTTTGATTTCTGTAAAATAAGAGAACCTTTTTGTATTTATTATTGAATAAGTGAATGAAGCTATTTTTAAAAAGAAAGTTAGAAGAAAGCCAAGCTGCTGCTGTTACCTGCAGAACTAACCAACCCTGTTACGTTGTTCGTTTGTACACACCTGTAAATATTTTGAGAAGAAAAAAAAAAACCAGAAAAAAAGAAAAAATTCAGTATAAAAACTAGTTCTTGACCAAATGCTACCAGGCGCTGCGGCAGTTGGGTGCTGATAACACGCCGTCAATAGGGATGTTACAATATGATCTCCTGGAGGCGCGCGACGGGATAACCAAAATCTCCGTTTAAAGCGAGAGGGGTTTTTATGTTTCAAGCAGTCTCAGCTGGGGTCTTAGAAGACCTTTTTTTAAGTCGACCTTAAGCCTGGTAAGGGCGTGTGTATAGTAAACCCGGGGCTTTTGTAGATGGTTGGGGAATTTAGATTAATTTTATTTGTATTATATTGTTGCATCCCTATTTCTTAAGTCAGGTTTTTTTGTGCTTACAATTTGTGATAACTGTGAATAACTGCTAAAACCACCCAAAAGAGAGGCTGGACATTGTTTTTTCCTTCAAGCAAAAGTAGTCAAGATTAGGGGGGACTGTTCAGCCTACCTTAAATCACGGGAACGGCTTAGAATCATGTAGTTGGAGCTTAACTCCGATCCGCCGACAGCCTTCTTAAAAGGAAAACGAGGACAAAAACCGCGATGTAACGTGCTTGCAGCTGCAGGACTCTGGCAATAGGGGTTTGGAAACTGTAATTTAAAGATGTGTTTGTATGGATTGGTTTTTGTTTACATTTCTTTCAAAAAACAAAAAAAAAAACCCACAAAAAAAAAAATAAACTGACTGTTTTGTGTTTGCTTGTAGAAACTTAATCAGCATTTGGAACCAGGTTAGCTTCTTATTTTGTACTTCAGATTCTGGTACTGACACTTCACAGCCTAAATAAATAAATAGAAAAAGAAAAAAATGAAGTTTTTTTTTTTTTGTGTGTGCACAATGAAAGTGGACTGTAAACTGTTGGTATATTCAGTCATACAGTTCTGAACTTGTAATGTATATGGCATGATGTATTTTTATCTTACAGAATAAATCAATTGTATATATTTTTCTCTTGATAAATAGCTGTATGAAATTGTTTCTTGAATATTTTTCTTCTCTTGTACAATATTCCAACATCCTACCAGTATTTGTCCTACAGTTTTTTCTGTTCTGTATAATAGTATCTAATGTTGGCAAAAAAAAATACACAAAAAACCAACTCAAAAAAAAAGAATTTTTTGAAGTATACAGAGTGTTATGGGTTTTGGAATTTGTGGAAACAGATTTAGAAGATCAGCATTTACAAATAAAAATATTTTACATCTATAAGGTACGTCCTCCTGGTTTCATTCTGAGGGGTCTCTTCTCTAGTTCTTTCAGGATTTCAGTGGCTTCAGCAGTTGTGTTCCCCTCTTCTCTGGCACACCCCAAATTCTGCTGCCGCAGCCCGAGCATTCCCAGGCACCATTCCCAGTGCTTGGGTCTTTCCCATAAAATCAGCCAGAGATGCAGAAGAAGAGTAAATGGGGTGTCCTGCTGCTGCTGGCTTGGGCTGGGCTGGAGTTGGTTTTCGGCACTGTAGCTTGTTCAAGCTGTGGGTCGGATTGCGGCTGGAAACAGCACTGACAGCTGGTGGGGGCCTACAAGAAAGCTGGAGAGGGGCTTTTTACAACTGGACCAGGGGTAACAGCTTTAAACTGAAAGGGGAGAGATCTAGATTAGATACAACGAAGTTGTTCTTCCCTGTGAGGGTGGTGAGGCCCTGGCACAGGTTGCCCAGAGAAGCTGTGGCTGCCCCATCCCTGGCAGTGTTCAAGGCCAGATTGGACACAGGGGCTTGGAGCAACCT